CTGACGGGAGAGGTAAGCGAGACGGTGCTGCTGTTGTCTGTGTCAACCGATGTACATAATTTCATTTATAAGTTTATTTTCCCAGTTTTGATATGTTGTTCTGTCATTTAATTTCTGTAACAGTACAAGCTGAGACTGACAGCGGGTTTTATGGTTGTTTTGTCGTCTGTCAAGGTATGTACTGTATTTACTGTATGAATGAATGGTGAATGTTTCCCGCCTTACGCGGCCCCGCCCCTTTAATACATGTATCTGACGGGAGAGTACAAGCTGAGACTGACAGCGGGTTTTATGGTTGTTTTGTCGTCTGTCAAGTTTGTGAAATGTCAATAAACTAGATCGCATCAAAAAGGATCCGACTCATCACAACGCAGTGTCAAGATTCCACCGGTTACATCCTACTTAATAACCAATCCAGTTGGTTTTGCCAGTGCCAAAACCTTTAAAGGACGAACTCACCTCATATAACGTAGCTTTCATTCTTGCCAAAAAGTGATTGTATAAATGTTATTAATGCAATAAATGGACTTGATTTCCTTATGAGGTTATATATTAAAGATGATAGCCTGGGATTTTTAGTGTTTCCTGAACCATGAGTTCAATGCAATTTTTTAAAATCTTTTTTTTTTTTTTTTTTAAATGCTTCAGGTGACCTTTTCTTCAAATTAATTTGACATGTTTTTTCATACAGATTATAAATTAGTGTACAAAAATCTAATAAAATGTTAACGCTCCTGGCTCCCTTTGGTGCTATTTTGCTATTTGGAAACTTGGATTTAATTTCAGACATCTGACTCTGGAATGTCACCAATGTAGAGAAGGTAAAAGGAATTTAGTTTGTGGTACAATATTGAAAACTGTCAGAGCCGAGATGCATTTCCATACGCTTTAGTTTGATTCTCTTCGTCCATGTCTGGGTTGTGATTTTAGTGTTTTGCACCACATTGTTTGTTTTCTTCTGATGCCTCATGGCCTGATTAGTTTCTATATGATGGATTTTGCATTTTTCCTGGATTCTCCAGCTGCTTTTGAAGTTTTGTTTGATTAAAATTTCTTTTTGCCACATTCTGCCTTGCCGTCTGCGTCTGCACTTGGTTCCCTTATTCTGACAGAACTGACCACAAAGATGAACCCAGCAGGCACAAGCTTCAGTTTACAATCTTATGGGGAAAATTTTGCAATGAACAGCTGTCTTATTTGTTTTAATGCCACCACAGACCTTAAGGGAATCTCTGTTTAGTTAAGACTCTGATGCTCCTGGAGTGGTTGAACATTTTTGGTGACTGACGACAGCAGTTTATGAAGTCTACCATCTTCTTCTAATACCTTCAAGCCACCTGGAAAAACCCCTTTCTGAGTCAGCCTGCTAGCCTTCTGCCAGCTTCACCTCCTGAGATGGTGAGACTTTTGCTAGCTCCAGCTCCTGGGTCAGCTAACCATCAGCCTCCAAGCCTCCTGTCTGGCCTAGCTCCCAAGTGGACAACCCATCTGCTTGCGAACCCTCTGCCAAGGCCTGCATCTGTGTTGGCTTGTCTCGGGTCTGGTAGTGTTGAGCCAGATTCCAACTGCCACCACAGAAACTCACAGTCACCCTCTAGCTCCATATCCTCCACCTCTTTGTCCTCCTTTCTGCAAGCTCCAAGGCTGAACAGCTGGACTCTGCAAGCCTTCAGCTTGTTGACCAGTTAGCCAGCACTGGACCACCCAGCTGCCCGCCTGCCCCTGCAACGGAGTCACCATCTGGGAAGCGTGCCAGAAGAAGCATGGCTCCTTATGACTTTCAAAGATTTTGAGACTCACTGCAAATTCATAGCCAAATTTATTTCATGATTGTATCGAGACATGAATGTAGTGAAGAGATCACATTTAGAATTTGTCAGTTGTAACATCATTAGTACAGCATTACAGCTGCTGCTCCACAGGACGGATCATGATGTCTCCAATCTGAAAGAAAAGTTTTGGCATTGAATTATGAGTAAACTGCTAATATTCCGTTTATTTTTAAAAATCTGAACAGTTGAAATAAGACACACCTGCACATGTGGAGGGGCACCGAGGGTGTACACAACAGCCCCGGCAATATCCAGTCCAGAGAGATTCTGTCAGAGAAGTAAAAAGTGCTTCAATACATTTCTATCCTTGTAATTATATCAGCAGTACTTTAGGAATGCAGCAACAATTCTCCTACCTGATGTTGACCAAACATGGCTGCAGCTTTACTTGGATCGTCACTGTACAGTTGAGTACCAAATTCAGTGTCCACCATACCAGGAGAAATACACTGCAGGAAGAGGAAACTTCATCGACTTATATTCATTGATCATGGTGTTAATGGTGCTTGTGGAGCTGGAGATGGACTGCAGTAGATTTTTGAATAGTTTGAACAAAGCAGGCCTAATGAGGAGAAACTGGTAACCAACAGCCATGAAGTCTTACTGTGGCCCTGATGTGGGTCTTGGCCTCACGCAGCTCCTGCCTCAGGCCTTCAGTCAGGGCGGTCACTGCATATTTGGTGGCAGTGTAGAAATGAAAATCACTGTATGGAGGTACGAAATGTCCAAGCACACTGCAGCAAGAGAAGATGTGCGAGCTGTTAACCAGGTCAGCATTTACCAACATGCACTAAAGGTAATTTTAAAGCCATATTTACTGCATCGGGTCAAAAAGCTTTAACAATTAATACATTTCTGTCAATAAGTTGGTGTAAAACTGCACCTGTTTATGTGGATGATGTGCCCGTCGTCAACATTTCTTTCTTTCATCGACTGATACGCTTCACGTGTGCAGATGGACAACGCAAGAACGTTCAGCTGCAAGAAACCAAGCAGAAAGAAAAACAGTGCAGAAAATATCTGAAACTGAGACCTCAACCTTTACACTAAATCATTTCTTGTGCACAAAAAAAACATGTTTTATTCACTTTGAAAGCTGTAAATGAGTCAGCCTGAAGGCGTCGAGGCCATTCTCCTGATTAAATAAGACCTAAACATCCAATTTGCTGCATGTTCTTGTTCAAAATGTATCACTTTTTTAAAAAATACTTTTGATTTGATCAAGTGTTTTATTCTTTTCTTGTCACAGTGGGAAAAGCACAAGTTATCAGTGACATTAACATCTGTTCAAGTGTCTCAGAAAGTCAGTAAAATAACACTGAGTTCTTACATCCAGCATGGTCCTCCAGCCGCTGGTTTTGCCATTTAACAGGTGATCCGAATTACCCAGTCCGGCGTTGTTGATGCAAACATCCACGCCTTTGTGCTGCGCTTTGATGGCCGCAAACATGGACAGAATCTCCTCCTCTTTGGTCAGGTCACACTTGATCGGCACCAAGACACCAGTGTAGCCTGCTTTTTTACACTCTGCTGCCAGTTCCTGAGATCAGAATTAAAAATATTACAGAAGGGCTGCGTCAGATTTAAATCTGTGTTTTTAAAAACCCACCACTCAAATGCTCAATTTTAATATTAACACAACTACTGTAAATTTGCAGATGTGGGGGAAAAAAATACTGTCTTTCATGTTTATATTTTTTCATAAGTTCTTTATTATGGGAGCAAACAGTTGATTTTATGGAAACTCTGGATAATTTATTACAGGTTAAATCCCAGGAAATTGTGAAGTAGTGGTACTAATCCACTTAAGCTGCAACTAGTGACACTTTTAATATCCAGCACCCCTGATAATTATTGTCTTGCTTAATCAAATTGTTGTGTGGTCTATAAAATGTCAGAAATGGTTAAAAAAAAAAAAAAAAATGTCGATCAGTGTTTCCCAAAGTCCAAGATGAAACCAAAAATATTCAGTTTATGGTCAGGGAAGAGAAAAGTAACCAGAAACGTCACATTTAAGAAGCTGGAATCATAGAATTTTGACTTTTTTTTTTTTCATTTAAAAATTGCTCAGATCAAACTGATAAATCAGTTTTCAAAATACGTGTTGCTTTTTTTTAAATAAATGCAGCTTTCTGCGTTTTTGATGGATTTCATCTTTTGGTATATTTAGTCACAATCAAGTTAGGACTTTTTCTGTGTGCAGCAGCCCCTCTGACTCTTTTCTTAGCTCATATTAATTTTATGAGGCTATCTGAGGTGATATTTGTTTAAGGTGTGGTCTGTTGCACCTTAATCACTTGTAATAATAACTGTACATGTTTAGAACAAATTGCACATTCATGCATACACGTGTCACATGTGAGCATCATCTTTTTAAGGAAATTCAACAAGATTTTTGGGTTCATTAATGAATCCAAAAACTTAGGAATTAGGCTTCAGACATCTTAAAACAAGAGTATTAAGACTCATGAAGCACAATTCAGAGCAATGCTTCTAGTTTCTTTGCATATTTCAATACAGTGACTATCAGTCTATCCATAAAGCCGAGATTCAAAGTTTAAATAACACATTTTCATTTCAACAGTTCTTTAAAAATGTGTGGTTTATATTTAGTTTTCTTCTTCAATACAATGACTCCTTTGTATTCACTTTATACAAAATTTAAAAATGACAACAAGATCATCAGTGTTCTGCAAAAGACAAAAATATTTTTGCAGCCTTAATATAAAACTACCAGTTGTTTATTTGTTTTTTGTTTTTTAAACCAACTCCCCCCTCCCCAGTGCATGGAACTTCATAATGACTTGCAGAAGATGTTATCATTCATTCCAGCGTCCCATTGTGTGATTATGCAAGTTTTGTTGAACAGCCAAGAATCTCCAGCCAGAGTACTTTTGAGAGTTTTGCAATTTGCAATTTGCATCAAATGTCATGCATTTGGATTAAAGTGGATTTACAATGCAAAGGTGGATGATATGTTATTATAGTATAGGAATGTTGGGTGTGGCTGCGTGGGGAGTAATTTACTGAAGTTACCCGCCCTTCCTCCTTGTCCTTACATAAGTGTGACACAGCAGAAACTTCTGTGGCAGCAAAAACAGCAACTTTGCATAGTAAAAATAATAAAGCCAGTTTGTGTTAAGTTTTGCCTGCTTTTAATAAGGCGTTGCTAAGTAAGAGTGACAGCTGCAGAAATAAAGCTTTCCCTTCAGATCAGACCTTGATTTTGTCCACGTTCCTGGCGCAGCCCACCACCTTCATCCCGTGGCGGACCAGCTCTCTGGCCACGGCCGCCCCGATCCCGACCGAGGCCCCGGTCACCAGAGCCACTCTGCCCCTCCAGCGCTCCATCACAGCTGCACACGCACAGAAGAAAACTCGAGAGAACGGAAAACCTGCCGGTCACGGAGCCGTGAACGCAGCAAACCGGGAACGGTGCAAGTTAAATACACTGAAGTGTTGCGTTCAAGGTCCTGTTGCACTGTAGGAAATCCGAGCATCTGTTCCGAACTGATTGTGAAATGCAATCCAGCTACTAAACCTACTCTGTCTTGCACAATTCTGGCGCATGAAAAATGTCCACGTCTGTCCAAAGTGGTCAAAAAAAAAAAAAAAAAAAAAAAAACGGCACAAAAAAGGGGACAAATGTCTTTTTAGGGGTAATGCAAAAACTAACACTCACGGGTTAAACTGGGCAGGTGACAAAAACGTATTGTAATTAATGATATCAGTGATCTTTATCTTCTCTCCAGCCTATTTATTAGTCAATCTGGTTGGTTTTAAGCAGTTGAATAGCTTTTAGGACCAGCCCACCTCATATCAGGTAGTTTTCCACTTGCTCAAAAGTGACTGTGGCCCAACATAGTGACTGAAGTTATTGGCAAGACACCTGAGCTGCATCTCATTCAGTAACACAATACCTTGCCTCAGTAAAGAGTAACTGGACTTTTCTGTTTGGTTCTTGCAAACGTTTCACCTTCGTCCAAGAGGCATTTGAAGTTCTAACTGACTGATGAGGAGTCCCAGGTATATATTCTCATCCCAAATCACGCGACTAATGTCCTATTAACAATCAAAGACTCACATGGCTCCAGGTGTAAATATGAAACTCAGAATTTTAATGGTGGTGAAACTGTCTAGAGATCTCAGGGCTGTTTGTCTCAGCACCTGATAAATCACATCAGCTCAGTCAGTTCCTGCTGCAGGACAACCTGAGGGCTGCAGTGCAGACTCACACTCACACACACACACACACACACACCTACTGAGATGAGGGAGGTGGAGTTCCTCAGAATAGAGCGGCGACCGTACCATGGTGTCATAGACCCTCCTCTGTTTACAGATGGCTGTTTGCATTTAAGATAGATGCCTTCCTTCATTTTGTTTTTTCTCAAGCCATCTGTCTTCTTGGTCCAGAATTTTTTCATATTTCAACTCACCAATAATCAGAGACGTTTTAATGTATTTGTCCAGTATTGCAGATTCTAAATCACCGTCCATCCATCCATTATCTATACACCGCTTAATCCTTAATAGGGTCATGGGGGGCTGGAGTCTATCCCAGCTGACTCAGGGCGAAGGCAGGGGACACCCTGGACAAGTCGCCACAGGGCTACACTTAGAGACAGACAACCAAGCACACTCACATACACACCTACGGACAATTTAGAATCACCAATTAACCTCAACATGATTTTGGACTGTGTGGGAAGAAGCCAGAGAACCCCGAGAGAACCCACGCTGCACGGGGAGAACATGCAAACTCCACGCAGAAAGATCCCCACGGACGGCCCCACTGGGATGTGAACCAGCGACCTTCTTGCTGCGAGGCAATGGTGCTAACCACTGATCCACCTTGCAGCCCCCTAAATCAATGTAATCATGAAAAACAAACAGTGAAAATTTCAGATTTTTGTCTTTAATATTTTCTGAGATATTGTTGTTCAAACATAGGCTTGAATTTCAAAGTGTGAAAAAAAAGTTGCTGAAAGTGAGTCAATGGGCTTTTCTTTTATTATCTTGAAAAGTATTTGATATATTGGGCTAAAATTCCTCAGATAGCATTTTATAGTTTATGACAGAAAAGTTTCAAGCAAATCCAAGATGGCTGAGCAGAAGGCCGCCGATGATTCAAGATAGAAAAAACCATCTACAGCTGCTTTATCACGATCAAGTGTGCAACAACACACAACTCTGTGTCTATGGTGATGGCTAAAGTGTGTCTTTGTGTCAAATCGTAAGCAAATAACTGCGATCAAATGTGTCTGGCGTGTCTGTTGCCTGGATGACAGAGAATGTACACAGACATAAGTCATCTTGACACTTCTTGCTGTTGCAACACAACTTCCTGCTATGGGAGAATGACTGGTTTTCTGGATGCAGCCGTGCGTGACAGAGTCTTGACATAAAATCGTGGCAAGTGTTGTTGTTTTTTTTGTTTTTTTTATTGAACACTGTAGCCGTCCTTTGAGCCGTTGCCACTCAGGTCTATATTTGGCTTCTGAATGACAGTGCAGGTATCCACATGTTTATCTGTACCAGACGGAGGCCGTGTGGTGTTCAACAGAAAACAAAATCAGAAACAAATCCTGTTGCTTCTAACTTCCTTTCTGAGGGATAGTTTTACATGTAAATAGAGGCAAAATCCCACCATTTGTAACCTTTAAAAGTGCTTTAGGCAAGATTTTGAGCATAAATGTAGCATTAACATAGAAGCCACCAGCTACTCGCTCCATAAAGACATAAGGGTGTCCTTATCAAAGAATGGAGTCACTCTCCGGCTGTGTTGTAATCTGAGCGCCTCGCTTCTGTTTGACAGCCTGTGTAGCCGGGTGTGCATGTTAGTTCATGTTAGCTGATTCGAGATAACGTTAGCTCACACAGGGTGAGCCCCTCCCTTTGAAACTGTCGGCTACTCTGGTGCACCTTCAGGTAACAGGTGGTAACAGAGACGAGCAGGTGAGGCGAAGATATCGCTCAAATTGGCAACAATGCCATCCAGTGTTTTTCACAGTGCCAGCCTGGGTCGACCTTCCACCTGGATTATTATGCTGCCATGCACGCACCGGTATCCATCTGACAAGAGCACAATGCAAATACTAAGTGGGAGGGGGGACACACCCCTGAAGAAACCGGAGATATTTGTGTGAGAAATGCATGCATGAAGTTCAGCGTTGAAAACGAGAGAGCTGCCAGTTGAACCGCAAAACTGCCAGTCAGGGCAAAAGTCAGATGAGGGACAAAGGAGCAGGATTCAAAGGATTTAAAAGCTTTACTGTCCCACACAGCAAACACAAGCAATTAGTACAATTAAAGTCTTTGTTTACCGTCTCCACCAAGTGCTGAGATTAACCTCTGTACAGAATACAGTCAGGCACTTATCAAACTGTGCACAGAAGTTATGCACAAAAGAAAGTGAATAAAAAAAAAAAAGAAAAAGAGCATGATGCAAGTTTTATGGTGCAGAAAAAGTTAAATAAAACCTGCCTGTATTAAGAATTTAATGTCAAATATACAGGGTACAGTGCAAAAAAGTGCATGTACAGAAGAAACTGTTAAAAAAAACCCCAAAAGTGTCATTGTGGTTTTGGAGGAGGCCCACTGCTGCTGTGTCGTCTACAAAGTTAAGAATGTGAGTGTGCCCATTTGTTGCAGCACAGCTGGAGGTGTCGAGTTTTCACAGCATGAGACTAAGTACACGATGCTGAGGCATGCCAGTGTTCATCACAAGGAGTTCTTATTGGTTTAGTTGGAAGAGTTTTCCATTAATCTAGTGGAGATGACTGTGTTTAATGTTGAACCTTAGTGCACGAACACCATGTCCTTGTTTCCCGGTACAGACGGCATCCACTGCAGACAAATAGTACTTTTACTGTCCAAAAAGTTGACAAAATTGTTAGCAAATTTGTTACCAGATTCACCTTTGAGATGACATTTCTTTTGCTTTTCTTCCTTCACAAATTCCCAGTCCTGTTTGACTACATTTGCACAAATCTGCCATGACAAATAAACAGCAATGAAAATATTGATCAGTCGCTCATGTCCGCTCCAGTAATAGGTGATGTATTGTTTAGCTTCCTAAATGTTGGGATTACAACGTGATGAGAAAATCCTGAACTCTGTAGAGCTTTTTCACAGCAGACATTCTGGAAAAGTAAAAGGAGGACTTCTACAATACTTAATGGAACAGAGGATTGCATTCTGATTTTCCTGCAGAATATCCTCTGTATACAAAGGGACATTCATGACTGAAATCTGAATGGTGCTCATTCTAGCACACACATCTGATGACGTGTTAAATCAAAAAGAACTGTCCTGCAGAATCTGCTGCACCAGCAGTAAATAAAACTTCAAGACACCAAGCAGAAAAGTAACATTTCAGGCACTGACACACTAAACTTCACACGAAATCGCTGCTTCTTGCGGACAAAGAAACGTGAAACTGTGAATCAATCATTCTGACACTCTGCAAAAACACAACACACAGCTTCACAATACATTTCCTGTATTTTAGTAACCTGCCACTCAAGTGTTTGATTAACATCAAGCAGTTGCTAATTACAAGCTTTTTATTTAACTGTCTTTAGTATTTATAATTGTTGATAATGCAATTTTAAAATTGCTTTCAACGACTCGAGGCAGCTGCATGGGATTCAATGCACTGAACAACAGAATCTATAAGGTACAACTGAACCAGCAGGGATCTCCAGTCAGACGAGTATCGTTGGACATGATGAATTATGTGTTTTTTTACAGAACAAACAGATTAGACAGTCCATAGGGGGTTATTGTAAATACCATTCCTAAAAAAAAATGACAGTCCACGCCCTTTGTCTTTTGCTGGCATCAGAGTGACACAGCAGATATTAGTCTAACAGCATAAACAGAACTTTTAAATGTTAAAATTCTTAACTTTGCATTTCCATTTTGCATTGTGATTTTATTTGCTTTTTCTCTTGAATAAAAGCTCTAAAAAAAAAAAAGTTATTAAAGATCACTCTTTTAAGTTTTCAGGACGTGAATTTCATTGCACCACCTTCGTACCGCACCTTGAACGCAGCACGGTGGACACCACCTGATTTCATCTCTAAAGTAAACATCTGCTTTACAATCAAAAAGAAATTTGTCCCAAAAGGAAGAAATTCTGCATCATTCTGGTGATCAACGTGAACAGACGTGGAGATAATTAATTAATTAATTAATCAGAAAAAAACGTGCAAGACACAGAAAGTTATTCTTGATCGCTGCAACGTGCAGGTGGAGGTGACGTCTCCGATTTCCTACCTGGATCCTGAACGCAGCACCGCAGTGTATTTAACTTGCACAGTCCAAAGTTCGTTGCATTCACGGCTCCGTGACTGGCAGACTCTCCATCCTTTCTTCTTTTTCTTCCTTTTCCGTGTGTCCAGCTGTGATGGATCGCTGGAGGGGCAGAGTGGCTCTGGTGACCGGGGCCTCGGTCGGGATCGGGGCGGCCGTAGCCAAAGAGCTGGTCCGCTGCGGGATGACGGTGGTGGGCTGCGCCAGGAACGTGGACAAAATCAAGGTTTGACAACTTTATTTCTGCAGTTTTCAGACAATCAGAGTCAGAATTTAACTTAGGAGAGAAATAAAAACAAAAGGAGATGCTGAGAAAAAACTTCCAAGGGAAAGTTGCTGTCACAGAAAAATACAATGAGTGTGTTTCTCACATTTTAATGTTCAGCTTAACTTTTACATTTTGACATTGAAAGCTGCTGTCTGTGCTGTCACTAATCCAATTTATAACAACTCAATAATTCATTTCATTAAACTAACACTTCTTCTGGGATAAAATAAGAAATCTTCACACTGCAAACTCCAACTCATTTGTTCTAATAGAAAGTTTATTGGAAACTTTTAGTTTTGTCCAGAATCATAAAATGTGATGCAAATAGTTGAGTTACAAAAACTAGTTTGACTAAAAATCACAGCCAGTTTGACTATGTAATCAGATACTCATGTTTAAATTCACAGGAATGTGCATCGCTTCCACAAGCAGGTTAAAAATGATATACAACAGAAAATAATAAGTGTGGTTAAAAAATAAATTTAAAAAAATGCAGCTTCATGTTAAGACAGCGAGATATTTTTGTGTCCAAGAGAACGCTGCTTGTTCTCATGAACACAAATGATTAATTGTATTAAGACATGTATGTAGACACGATGCATTTTTAGACCAGCTACTGAAATAAGCGCACAGTGAATGTGTTGTTAATTGAACATGAAATCATTAAGCTTTATAAATCCCATTACAGTGAAGCTCAAAAAACTGCTATCCGTGGACTTGATGAAACAGATCAAGAGATGAAACTCATCAGGTGGCCTTTAGAGCTGCAACGATTAATCAGTTCGTTGTCAGCTTTTGAATTAAGCAGCAATTATTGTGAAAATCAACTGACCGGTTAAAGCTGTGAGTACAGCTGCTTAAATGTGAATATTTTCAGGTTTCTTTCCTCTTCTATGACAGCAAACTGAACATCTTTGGTTTGTGGACATTTGAGGACGTCTTCTTGGACTCTGAGAAACACTGATTGACATTTTTCATCATTTCCTGATATTTCATAGATTTAAAAAAAAAACAAGAATTAATTGAGAAAATATTTGTTTAATTGAGAATGAATATAATTATTCGTTGCAGCCTTAGTGGCTTACTACCTTCACTGGACAACTTCCTGGGATAAAAAAACAATAGTAAATTGTCCAGATTTTCTCTGAAATCAGTATTTTTCTGTAGAATATATGAAAAACAGTTTTACAGGTCTCTTGTTTTAAGAGCTTTTCCCCCCCAAATCTGCAGATTTCAATCAAAATCAAAGTCGTTTGTGAAGCTGAGCGTCTGCTATGTTTTCATTCTGATCTCAGGAGCTGGCAGCCGAGTGTAAAAAAGCAGGCTACACTGGTGTCTTGGTGCCAATGAAGTGTGACCTGACCAAAGAGGAGGAGATTCTTTCCATGTTTGCAGCCATCAAAGCGCAGCACAAAGGCGTGGATGTCTGCATCAACAACGCTGGACTGGCAAATTCTGAGCCGCTGTTGAATGGCAAAACCAGCGGCTGGAAGAACATGCTGGATGTAAGAGATCAGTGTTGTTATTGAAACACGAGAACAAGAGTTAATGCTGTTAATATTATGAAACCCGTGCTTTTCTTTACTGGTTTTCTTTCTGCTTGGTTTCTTGCAGGTGAACATTCTTGGGTTGTCCATCTGCACACGTGAAGCGTATCAGTCAATGAAAGAAAGAAATGTTGACGACGGGCACATCATCAACCTGAACAGGTGAAGCTTCATTTCCTGACGAGTATCTGTTGTAGTTGATCACCATTCAAAGTGCAATCATTCATTTTCATAACCGGTTAATTGTTGAATCAGATTTGTGCAAATATAGTCAAAACAAGACTTCCCTTTTACGCCCTTTTGTTTGCAGTTCTCTCTTCATATTTGTCACCGAGCTGACTTTTGTCTTCATTGTCAGCTTTGCGGTTTCATCCCAGCTCCCTTGTTTGCACTGCTGGACTTCCTGTCTGCTGTTCTCACACAAACCTCTCAGGGTTTTTCTTTCCAATGAGTGTGTCTCCATTTGAGTTACAGCTCAGTATTTCTATTCTGCCAATATCAGACCTTTATCTGCTTGCTTCTCCCTGTGCTCACACATGCTGCATTTTAATACAGCCGACATCCCAGTGAAGTTGGTCGAATTCACAAAACAAGTATGAAACAGTGAGTGAATCTTAGTCCATTACCAGGACATGGAATCACTTCAGAGTCGTTCATCCTGCCTCTCTGTGCCGCTAAATTCCTTTTTTGTTTTTTTAACTGTGATGTCAAACAAGCTCATCGTACACATGAGGGTGAAGGTTCTGTGTGTAACACTCAAAACTGCTGGATGTTGTTCAAGCTCCGACATGTCAGACCACCTCCCTTAACTTTCACTTGCAACCAGTCATGTGTACACCAGAGAGACAGAGAAAAATGTAATGTTATGTTCACTTCACCTGCTTGTGTTTGTTCCGCTGCATATGTGTCTGTTTCTACCATCCATCAATGAGCAGACCCGAGGACAGATCGGGTCTAATCATTGATGGAGCGAGTAGAAAAGGAGTAGTAGAGACTGTCACACTGAGCTGAAATGAAATAAGTGCACATAAATTAGGTAAATAACATAAATCAAATACTTGGTTTTAAATAATCATCACAATAACTTTATCTATACAGCGCCTGAACAAAGTGCTTCACAATAGAACAAATGTCAAATTAGACAAATACTCAAAACAAATCCAAACAAATGAATACGATTCTTAGCATGCTATGTTTGATTTTTAATAAAGCACGATCATGACTGGCTCTAGAAAAATAACCCGACTAGTGTAAATATCATCCATGAACTGATCACTGGAGGGACTGAACTTCACAAAGATTATACGAAATACTACTTTACCCTACTGTGGTACATGTTAGGGCTTCAGTGTTTTAGTTAAGTGTGGACATTCACCTAACTAATGACTAATATAGCTAAGACCCAACGGTACCATACATGACCAAACCTAACCGAGCCAATGTAAATATTATGGCCAAGACCCCACAGCAGCGTTAGCTATGGAGACTAACTTGTCTAATTTAGAGCTAAAGTTTTGGTTTCATGTACAAAAATGTAAATGAAAACCCAACAAATCAGTTCACTCTCAGTCCGTTTAGAAATGTATGGACTGAGGGACTCACATGCACGAACATGAAGTTACCTGAACTAACATACCTGCTGTAGTTCAGAAACTAAATAAAGACTTTAGGCAGCGACGGCTGAAGGGACCACTGCTGCGTTCAAGAGAAAAAGTTCTACTTTGCGCCTACATCTACTTTCTTGAAGGCTGCAGTTGTCTCTTTAACCCATCACTGGTCTTTATCGAGCAAATGGGACGCTTCAAAACTGCGAACAAAAAGTCAGACAATGCAAACAGGAAAGCTGTTAATGTAACTGCAGATCACTTTTTTTTCCGGATAATTGTTCAAGTGAAAAGTCATAGTTAGTGTTGTTCAGAAATTGCTTGTATGAGTCAACCAGCATTAACTGAATTCAGTTCATTGAAATATGAAATAGTAAATATGGCTTTAAAATAGCAGCAGATACTTTATCATTATGGATTTTTTTTTTCATAGATTTGTGCCCTGAGATTACTCCAGTACATGTTGGTAAACGCTGACCCGGTTAATCTTCTTCTGTTGCAGCGTGGTCGGACATTCCGTACCTTCCATTACTCCTGCACACTTCTACAGCGCCACCAAGTACGCAGTGACCGCCCTGACCGAGGGCCTGAGGCAGGAGATGTACGAGGCCAAGAACCACATCCGGGTCACCGTAAGGCTTCATTCATGTCTGCATTTATAATCTAGTTGCTACTCATTCATCCTGCTTTTGGATCCTAACATCTCCCACAGTCCGTCTCCAGCTCCACCACTGCAATCAACACCAATACTAAAGCATGTAACACATTTTTAACTGAAGCGTACTCTTCCCGCAGAGCATTTCTCCTGGTTTCGTGGAAACTGAATTTACTGAGCGATTCTTACAAAATAAAGTCCAAGCCGAAGCTTTGCTCGCCCAACAGAAGGTAAAAATATGGTTCCTATGTCCCTGGAGTCCTGTTGATATAATTAGAATTTAAAAAAGTAATGAAGCACTTTTCACTTCTGACAGAATCTGTCTGGAAAGGACATCGCAGACGCTATTTTGTACGTCCTTGCTGCCCCTCCACATGTGCAGGTATGTTGTTTATTATTTTATTTTCCTGCTTTTGGCCCTTTTACCGTTAAAGTATCAGCAGTTTTCTCACAATTCGATAACTTTTCTTTCAGATCGGAGAACTCCTACTCCGTCCCGTGGAGCAGCAGTTTTAATGATGCACTGTGTGACAGCTGACACATTCTCCGTGTGATTTCTTCACCAGTTTTTTATTTTCATGGAATAAATTTAGTTTTGAAATCCAAACTATATCTTTCCACTTATGCACACAATAAAACATCTGACTGGAACACGAAGCTTGTGGCACGTTGTCCTTTTTGTTGCACAGAGTAAAGTTTGATTTGTAGCTAAATGTTGCATCAAAATCAAAATCCCACATCCCACACTGAACACAAACATGACCAATATTATGCTTTAAATAAATTCATTTTGTTCATATGATTGCATAAGACAGACATTTTTGTGCCTCATACGTTTGGTACACATTAAAATGAATATCAAGTTAAAATACGATGTATAGCAGGTATGCATGTCATTATATAGTAAAAATAAAAGTCAAAAATCTTAAATTAACATCACCTGCTAATTCATTCAGTTATTCAATCGGCAAATCGGGTAGCTGCAGCGCACACAGTCCTGCAGTCACAAGTCGAGAGCTGTGCAGTGGGCTCCCTGCTCACCAGATTTAAAATGTGAACCTCTGGTATGTGCTCCAATGACATTTTGGCAGCGTGAAAGTGCAGCTGACAAATCTGCAGAAATACGTGATGAATGACGTGAACACAAAGCCAGATGTCACTGGAATGTTTCCATCAACTTGACAACAACAGAAGCTGTTTAAGAGCAAAAGAAGGTCTGAGCCAGTTTGGTGTTCCTAGTAAAGTGGTCACTGAACGCAAGAGCTGTGCAGATAAATACTATGATATCCAAGCATAAAGATATAGAACGAGAACAGAAACAAATGCATGTACTGTAAAGCTGGAAGTGCCTTAAGTGTGAGATTGAACATGATCTTCAGATTGGCAACCTGATCTCTGGATTTGACGATGAAAACTAATAAGAAAAAAATCCTGAGCTGTAGGAACGCGGTATTTCGTGATCTGTGATCACTTCTTTTCCAATTCCAGTCTATGGGAGCCAGGGCTTTTTGGAGCCAGCAACTAGTGGACGTAGTGATATTGCAGGTTTTTGACACTTCTGGGTTGGCTTCATTTTTCAGGGCCGGTTGCTACATCCATCTTTTATACAGTCTATGATATAAGCCCTGCTCAGTGCTCCTCCTGTGTAAATGTAATTCTTAAGATGACCTTTGGAAGGCAGCGATACGCCTTCTGAATCCAGCACCATCAAGAATGTCAATACACTTTATTTTTCATTGAATATTTCCTCCCTTGGACAGTTTTTCCTTTTGCTGGCACAAGCAGATTACAACAGAGTTTTGCTGCCTACACACAATAATAATAGTAGCTATATTGCCGCAAGCAAGAACTGAATCACTTAATAAAACATACAGCGCTAGACAGTCAACTTAACAAGAATTTATCGTACTTCAAGTTACTGGAGGTGCTACAGTTGGATCAGTACAAAGAAGTACTTTAAATAAACATGTTTTTCTTAAAATTCATTGAGCATGTTGTGCAATTTAAATTCATAAAAGACAAAGAAAGAAAACAAACAAACAAAACCAAAAAATAATGTGAGAATGCGCTGGCTTTTTCATACTGAAATCTGGCTTTTTAAAATTTAATCTGAAACATTTGACAGTGAAAAGCCACCAATGCAAAGGTGGCATTAGGAAGCTACCTGAACACATGCAGGCCTCTGGTGTAAAGAGGTGGACATGAATGACACCACTGTGTTTTTCTGTTTGTAAAATGGATACAGACAAAACTGCACTTTTTAAAGTTAAAGTTACTTGTCTGATTAAAATGAGCAGCCTGTTAAACATTCAGTTTGCAAAAGTCCTCACCTGAGTTTCTTTCTTGTGGCGGCCATCTTGTCCTGGAGGTCAAAGAGGGGTCACGCCTCCAAAGCAGCTCTTTCATTGGTTCCCTGAGTGATCTCAAATATGATTGGATTATAGGTGTGTCCTGATTGGCCAGTGCAATCTGAAAGGCAAGTCCCTGTTCATGAAGGCAGCACGATGCGACACTGCTAACTGTTGAATGAAATTAGTGAACGTTTCTTGAAACTTTTACTATTTTAATTTATTTGTCTTACTTTTAGAAATGTCCTGTTTGTTTAAAAATCACACATTTTACCTTGCACATTTATTTGCCAGCATGACGTTTATAATAACAATAATAAACTTTATTTATAGAGCACTTTTCAAAACAAATGTTACACAGTGCTTTCCAATAAAAGTAAAATTAGAATAAAATAAAGCACAAAGAGTAAGATAAAAATGACATAACAATCAAATAAAGCACACAAGAGGCCCCATGTTTGTTTCATGCCCCAGTTTGGTGGATAAAACCAGTCATAAGAACAAGAGGCGATAAAAACATAAAACTCTCAGATAAAAATGTGTTTTAAGAAGTGACTGTAAAGAGAGCACAGCATCAGACGACCTGATTTCCTCCTCATACCTCACACTGCTTCCTACATCCTCTTTGCAGCAGCAGGTGAATGGAGTTTGTGGTGAAATATTAAAAACTGACATTCAGTAAACGAGGTTGCAACACATTTCTCTGGACAGTCCACATCAGCAGAAAACACTTTCTCCTAAAGAAACTGGTCGTGTTTTCACAGATCGGTCCCTGAGCTGTTAGCATCGATCTTTGTCCTCACAAATCCCAACTTAACCCCTACTAACCGAGCTTCAACATAAACTGTTCCCCTTGCAGTTGTGCGGTTTTCTACTTGCACTCGATGAGCAACGCGTCATAAATTATCAGCTTATTTGTTAGCCGTGTGACATAACAACAGTTTGGCTCTCATTCACTGACTTCCTTTTAATGTTAAAACAGTGTTAGTTCTGCTTTAAGAGTTTTGAACCAAATAAATACAATATTACAGAGCACCATAATGGGATTAAATGAGCTTAAATTTGCCCAAAAGATGAAGCTGTTAGAGGAAGGAGCTGCTTTCTTGGATGAAATGTGATTGTGATTTCCTCGACTAGGAAGATATGACAAGTTACACCTGACACAAAAGAAACCAATGAACTAAAAACTTCAACAAACTGCTGCATGATATCAAATATTACTGATTTATGATAATGATATGTTGATATTGTTAACTTTAAGACAAGCGGCTGACATAAAGAGTTTAAAAGAAGAAAAAAAAATGTCACAGGTATTATCTTCTTCCCCTCACAGAGCCACACCAACAGAGTTGGTTAGAAGTTTTGTGACACTGCAGCGGCAGATCTCAGTCTCTGGTTAAAATAGTTACAGAAGCAGGTTAATAAATGGCTTGTTTGGTTTGTTTAATAGCAATCAGGACGGTGAGGAAGATTTAAAAATTAATGTGACTGAAGGGCAGTAAACAGAGCTAACACTGTTTCCCTCCTGTGATAGTATGTGTTTGAGTGCATGAATGTAAATGTTTTATCATTTTCAGCACAAAATGTGATTGTTTATTTCCTGTAAGTTGTGTGAATGACATGTCCTACAACAACTCCATCCATCCCTCCATCCATCCATTATCTATACACCACTTAATCCTCACTACGGTCACGGGGGGCTGGAGCCTATCCCAGCTGACTTAGGGCAAAGGCAGGGGACACCCTGGACTATCACAGGTCTACACTTAGAGACAGACAACCAAGCACACTCACATTCACACCTACGGACAATTTAGAATCACCAATTAACCTCAACATGTTTTTGGACCTTGTGGGAGGAAGCCGGAGAACCCGGAGAGAACCCATGCTGCACGGGGACCTAAAACAACTAATTTTACCTAATTTATTTCTTTTTGTTTTTGCGGTTTCTTGACTTTTTTTGGGATCACAACCACAAAAGTGTCCAAACTTTAAAATTCACATTCAGGCCAATGAATATCAGGAAGCTTTTCATGGTCTCCTGATAAACAACGTCCACACTGGTGACGAGAATTACAGTCTTGTTTGATAAAGAAGATGCTTCTGTGTGAACTGGATGTAAAATAGTCAAAAGGCAAGTTGCCTCAGTTGTAAACCACATAGATATTCATCCTAAATGGCAGAAAAGGTGGCAAAATAGATCACAGCAGCAGCCCAGAGTCACCTGGTGAACGATAAGAAACTTGAAGAAGCTGCAGCAAAGTGATAATATTCTTAACTTTGTGCTAAATTTGATACGAATCTAAAAAAAAGTCTTTTGAAATCATCATCACAAGGGTCTCCATGGGCCAATATATGCTATATATTGCTGTAATTTTAAAATGATTTACTTTTCTAGTTCAGCTGGATTCACCTTCCAGCATTCGGATCAAAGGAGGAAATCTTCCTGCAGCTTCACCTGCACTGGAGCAAAGATGGAGGATCAGGGTCTTAACAAACGACTGACGGAGAGCATTGTCCTATGGAGGGATGTCATGTGGTTTAACCAGCACTATGTGTTATAAAGAATCATGTGTACACCCTCTCAAAGCTGGATTTTGTCACTTCCTCGTACATCCACTAAGCGGCAGCAGTGAGCAACTCTGTTCAAATGGCAGGTAGCTGCTGCAAACTGCACATGAAAGTGTTTCTTAAAGTGCATGAACCTCCTTAGACATTTTATTTCTATCTTTATAAGACTTAAAGAAATATTATCTTTAATTTTGTGCCTTGACAAGAAACCTAGAGACATGATGTAATGAGAAAGTTGGACGTCTGAGTGAAACAAAAAAACAGGATTTGTGGTTCCAGTGTGAACCTACACCTGACAGATTCACAGTCCAGCGGCTGCATTTTAATGCTCGGAATGACATTTTTTTCCTTTTTTGATTGAATAAACAACTGAAATACTTTAAAGGCCTTGAGATCAGTCGTCAAAGGTAAAACATAATTCAATCAGTGACTTTGGAGGTTAACACCCATTGATGTCATTAGATGCTGCGCTTGTTTCTGGCACCTGGACGCTATCTATATCACTCTAAGCACTGGAGGAGATCACTGTGCATATAATCCTGTGTTGAACAGGAATAGACGTCTGATGCAAGCGCAGCCTCGGGTACAACAGTGCTGAGCTAATCTGCAGGATGCACCGTCATGCTGCCTGCTGCAGAGCTTCATTTCTCGTTTTCTTGGACGAACCACACACACGTTATAGAACCTTGAACATGTGTGTGCGTGTGTCGTTTAGCTGCTTGTGTCCGAGCTCCTGCAGCAGATTGAACTTTGTCAGTTTTGACATCACCTATGTTACCACCTGCCTGCTTGTCTTCTCTGCTTTTTTTTTTTTTTCTTTCTCTCTAACAAGGACATCTTTTCTCGGTTTGTGGCTGCCGCCCATCCCCCACTTCCTCTTATTTCACTTGGTGTGACTCTGAGGTTTTGGGTTGTCGTGACAACGGAGGACACAGGCCCGTCTCTATTCTGTTTGCAAAGTTTCTGTTGTTGCAAGCATATTGCAAACTTTGCTGCCGGGGCGAGGGAAGGGCCTCGCGCCGCCACCATCCCCCCCACCGACACCTCCATCAAAAACGTGCAGGCGTGAAGGAGTTCTCAGAAAAATAGACGAGATATGAAGCGCTTCCTGTAATCTGTGAAAAGGTCTTTTAGATCTATCTGACATGTTGAGGCGAGCGGCAGCATCCTCCCAGTGCTGACACAAACATTTACCACAGTGAGCTCACTCGATCGATAAGGTTGACTATCATAGTCGTGGTAATCGGTGTTACATAAAGTCTGGGCTAAACGGACTGTACTTTAACTGAACTTGTCTGTCACTTATTTGAATTAATGTCCCCTCTATTATACTTTATATCTTATATGCTTTATCATTTTTGAATAACTTTTTTAGCTGCTTTAGTCAATAAATTTTAAATATTTTATAAATCTCTGTGAGCATTACTCAACTTATCTGTGCTGTTTTTGATTAATTTAATTAAATCAATTAATTTATTTAATAATTTAATCTTTTATTTATTAAAAAAAATAAATAAATAAAGTACACTTCCTGAAATTTAAGTACAATTCTAAGGTAGTTTTAGATTGTGAAGCTACACATTTTCTTTTATTGAATTCATTTATTGATTTTTTTAAAATTTAAAGCACTTTGAACTATCTGTGTGTATGATAAGGTTCTACAGAAATCGACTTGCTTGCTTGCGTTGTGTTAACGTTTCAGTTTGTGCTAGTTTTGAGATAAATGGCACAAATTAATCATGGTTGAGATCAACATTAATCTGCTTCAGACCGTTTTTAGAAGCAGGTGCCACTTCAGAACTTTATGTCCTTAAAAGGGATCAGAGCTCACTGTGCGGCGGTGATGCAGTCGGCCAAGACTTCATGGGTGTAGCTTCGAATTTGCATGTGTGTGTGTGTGTGTGTGTGTGTGTGTGTGTGTGTGTGTGTGTGTGCAGATGTGTAAAGTAACTAAGTACACTTCCTAAAATTTAAGTTAAATTCACACATAGTTCTAGGTTGTGGATCTACATTAGTACTGCGTAAAATTGGACTTAAAAAATAGACAATATTCTAAAATCTAATGTACAATCAGCTCACAAAAGTATATGAAGTAGGATGATTGATAGTAAATACACACTCATACATACAATAAATCCAAAAAAATCTCTATATTTTACAATAATAACTCAAGGGACACGTTCACATATTTAAGTGCTCTTCTCACCACTCAGTGTTTGTGCATAAACCTGCTGTGCATTTCTGCCCACACTTGTCGTCATGTATGGTGTGTGTGTGTGTCGGTGCACGTTGTGTGTGCGACTGTTGGAGCTCTTCCTGTGCGAACCACGTGGCTCGGACGAGGTTAATAAAAGATCACGCTCACTTCTGGGTTTTCTTTCTTCATTGGAGCCCAAACGCTGGTAAGACCTCGACGGCGAGTCCATTTATTTAAAAAGATCTGATGACGGCTGCTTTTTATTTGTTGAATGTTAACAAACAGGAGTTACTACACTGTGACAGCATCATCTTTAGGCAACGCTTTTGTCAAATATTTGGGTGTTTTTCTTGTATTTCTCGGTTGATTTCTGATTTCTCCAAGGATGTTGTTTGATTTGTGAAAAACCGGCCTTCATTCTTCAGCTTTTGCGTTGGACCAGCCAGAAGCTACCGATGTACAGTGTTGTCACCCATAAAGTAGAAAGCACTACTAAACTTCACTACACAGTGTAGTGTTTCCTACTTTATGGATGAGTATACTGTTGGCTGCAGAGGAGAGCACAAGAAGAAACCTGACGGACTGGAGCGTTTTAAAACCTGAATGCTTTTGTCACTTAACTTTGCTTTAATGTTTATTTAATACAAATTAATCAGATAACTAATTAATTCAGCAAAGTCATATTCCAGGACAAACAGACAGCTGTAAGAAAAGCAGGTAAGCTTTGTAAGAATTCAAGATGTTTTATTGTCAGTTTCTGCTTTACATTTCCTGCACAATTAAAACACTAATTGTTTCCTTTATACAAAGTTTCTGTTGTGATTTTTTATTTTTGTTTCATAAAAACTGCTGCAAAACTCAAAAACAAAAGAGTATGAAACAAGCCAGTTGTAGAAAATGTATAAGTAGCGTATAAGGCAAAAATGGACGTACTATGTTAATACACTGGTCTGCAAAACACTTGGATTAAAAGTGTATCATTAAGGCTAAAATAATCTATCCATTGCCATCAGGTATTTGGTTTTGTGAGTTCCGTCGTTGGCTTTTTTGTGAAAGCTCAGAAATTCAATATTAAGTTATTGTAACTGCACAGATAAAATTAAAAATAGCATAGTTATTGACTTTTTGAGGGTTTTTTTGCACCAAAAAAATTACAATTTTTGTTAAAATATTTAAATAAAGGGAATATCTGACAATCGTTTGCAGCATCCTGCTCATTACAGGTAACACTGGGTTCATTAGCCTCATTTATTCGCAGCCTAAAGCAGATACAGTGCCACCCTATAGTATAAAAATAAAAATTTTTCAACTAACAAAAATGAGCTGATATCTCACTGTGTCTGAGACTTGGCATTTGTAGCAAACATCTTTTCTCCTAATCCCAGGGCAACGGCTGCAGAAAGTTCGATGGAACCAAACCTCGTCGTCCGTGCAGATCTCCCTAAAAATGAGATGAAAATTAAACTAGTAAAAACTTAGTGTCAGTCATTGTGCTGTGAAAAAATAGAACTGATTTAAACGACTCAATTCAATTAGGTTCAAACAAATTAGGTTAGCAACTGATATTAATGCAACTGATTTAAGTTAGACGTACTTAAATCAACTGATCACTCTTACATAAACATTGCTGCAACTTCATTTTTGGAAAAGTTAACTTTTGGAGTTTGGAGTTTTCCCAACTTGCTTTGCCGAAACAAAAAATGTAAAGTATGATTTTACCAATAGACTTTTCTTTACTCTCGAATCGTACTCGAAGAAAACGGCATTTCAGTTGCAGCAGTAACATTTTTCAAGACACATGAATGTCAAATGCACAAAGTTAAACTCTAAATTGTGGCACTTTTGCTGAATTTCAAATACGAGTTTAAAGGAACAAAGCGGAATTCCAAGTTGATAGAATTCCTCAAATTAACCCGCCTTCACCAAATTAGAAAGATAAGTGAAATTTATAATTGCAACTACAGCTCAAATACACTTGTTTACAGTAGAACTGCAAAGAAGACACTCACATAGTAAAACCCGTCCTGGTCCATGTGACCCATCACATAAATGATGTCTCCTGATCGAAAGCCGAGTTCGACCTGCGAGACAAGGAAAGTCTGAGTCACATTTGTAAAACAGCTGACTGGTCTTATATCATTAATGTGGCTCTTTACTGCGTACTTCACTGTCCATGTTGGGCGAACTCTCCCATGGATCGTAGTCGAATAAGGCCACCATTCGTCGAACGACCACATCGTCGGGGATACTGGCCACGTCGCTCAGACTGGGCGTTAGAGACATACCTGTGGGGCAAAACATGCAAACACACCTTTAAAACTTCAGTGTTGAAATAGAGAATCTACCAGCACCAAGGTCACAGACTCAACACAGACCTTCTGGGAGAGTTGACACACTTCACATTTTTAAATGATTTAATTAATAAGTTGACTTTTCCTGATGATTTCTGAGCAGCGGTTTGCTGGGCTTCACTCAACAAAAACATCACAAGTGGACTAGTGGAGTATTAATTTAGATTTTCTGTATATTACCCCTAATGTCACTGTTCTGTCAGTGAGTAGAAACTGATGAGGGCTGCTACCTGTGTGGTCGACGGGGAGGAATCCCTGCTGCATGAGCAGATGCTTCAGGTACTCGTCGTCCACCGGGATTTCAGCCACCATGTTGCTTGGCACATAACCGGAGAGACCGCCGGACTCACCGTGATAGAAACCGTCGGCATCTGTGTCTCCAAACACCTGATAACAAACACACACTGAGCTGTTAGTTTTATTACTTTATTGAAGGTCATGGGAGAAAAAAAAAGGTGCATGTGTGAGTATTTTGCAGCAGCAGCAGACAGATTCAGAGGAAAAGGCGGTAAATCACACGACAACATCTCCTGTCTTTGTACACACTCAGTCGGCCTGAATGCAGCACAAACAGGAAACAGCGGCAGGTTCGACCGATGAAGTGAGGAAATACAGCTCAAAGTGAAGCGCTCAGACGTAGAAGAGAGGCAGCTCATGGTTCTTACCTTGATTATCTGGCCTGGCACGAAGGGCAGCTCCTCTGCAGCTGTCTCATGGTTGGGAGACATGGCGGCAGGGTTGTAGGGGTAAAGTGCCACAAACAGCCGGACGGTTGGTATGGACACCTGGCTGGCTGTCTCCAGATCCCATTCTCTGAAGTCCTCCGGTGTAGCGACCCTCACTTCGTCTGGGTAAATCAGAACGTCCAGCTCGAGCCTCGTCTCCATTTACAGCAGCGTGAGCGCTCGACTGTCCACCTGGCAGACAGATGGCCGCTGCAGACAGCAGACCTCTCCTTACCCTCATCCTAATTTGAGGTAACTAAGCTAAGCAGAAGGAGCGGTAATCCTCTTTGAAGCAAGTGGATAGATGCATGAGTGCAGCACGGCCTGTGCACTGTAAGGCTGCGCTGCACCTGTTAGTGGGAGTGATAGTTTAAAAAAAGACATTTTTTTACCTTGAGTGCAACAGTTTGCAGAAGAAACAAATAATGCTTGTGACATGTAAGTAGTTTGTGTGAAATATTCTGCAGTGAAAATGGAGTTTTTCCAAACATGAATAGGAAAATAATCAACTTGGTTCCTGGTATTGGAATAGCAACGCAGAAAGCAGAGTTATAAACCCATGAGTTCCTCAGAAATGAGCATTTATGTAAAGAGAAATGAACAGAACCTCTGAGAAAACAACAAAGCTCAAGCTATATACTGTAAGAATTCATTAAAACAATCAATATTCTATTATTTATTTCTATTTTTACATTGTCTCTGGTGTCACAGTGTCTACATCCACTTCATAAGTGATAAAGTGATAAAGGAACCACACAATGCAATAAAGAATAGATTAAAAACATAAATCAAGTGCAAATACAAACTGGTTTTCTCTTTATTTATGTGCAACATGTTATCTTTATAACTGTTATGTACAATTCTACATTTAATATATATGTAACCTGGAGGAGTCTTTTGACAAAGTCAGATTTATTTTAAATCTGCATCTTGGAAACAAAAAGTCTGTATTCTTGCGTTCCACATATATTATGTGATTTTGTTGTTTAATTGTGTGTATTTTTTGTAAAGCCACATCTAAAAGCTAGTATTTGCATGAACTAAAGTTTGGGTACAATTATTGATCCTGCCATGTGGACGATGTAAACATTCTATTATCTTTATTCTACCTTGTTTTTGTTGTTAAATATGCTTCTTTTTTTTTTTATCAAGCAGCTTTACTGTGTGAATCCTCCCTGTGCAGAATCCATACAGTTTATCTTATCTGTCAGCTTCGTATAATTTCGCAGGACATGAATAGCTCTTGAACACTTGTTCAGCGTACCAGTGTTTTTCCTCCTGACATGACTTGACCCAGTTTACGCGCCACTGAAAGTCAACGCTTCCTGTGTCCAGGTCAGCAGGTGATAATCTCCTCCCTCAGAGGAAAAGAAAGCTTTAACAGCTATCCATGTTTGTGTACACTGATCAACACTAAAGCCGCCTGCTTGACGTTGCCAACGTCCCTCTTTGACCCACCAAAGTGTTCGGACGTCGAGCTGTTGGCAGCAGACGAGACGTGGATCAGACTTGTTTTTCAGGACTTCTCACAAGATGCTCGATTGGAAATCTGAGGGTTTTAGAGGCTGAGTTCCTCAAACCTTCTCTGAACAATGTTATCCTGCTGCTGTAAGGCGATGCTGTTACTGTGGAGGGTTGTATTGCTCAGTAGATGGTGTCAGAGTAACGTCCACATGGATGTCTGAGGTTCACCAGCAGGACACTGATCAGAGCATCACACTGCCTCCTTGTCTTGTTCCCATAGTTAAACCAAACAAGTTCAAGTGATGTAAAAAGAAAACATGATTCATCAAAGCAGGCCGCCTTCTCCCACTGCTCGTGTGTCTGCAGCTGCACTGAATCATACCAAAGCAGCGTTCAGGTTTCCATCAGGTTCATTGGTTGTCCTTCTTCGGTGCAAACCTCTACGTACCAGAACATCCTCCAAGACATGCAGGTGTGAAGACGTTCTGACCTCGTCGTCAGTGTCGGGGTCACTTCGATCCTCACGCTGCCCATTTTTCCTGCTTCAGGAGCTGACGGCTCACTATTCGCTGCCTCATGTCCACTCGACCGTAACGCGATAATCGATGTTATTCACTTCATCTGTCAGTGGTGTTGTGGCTGATTGGTGTGGGAGGAAACTGGACACGTGTGAGTTGGACACTTGGGTCATTTTCAGATGGACATAAGTATTATTGTTAAGTTATGAATTAGATTATGCTGTGTGCATCTGTATTTGTTTGCTTATTTAATTTTTCACCTATAGTTCAATTTTTTTTTACTAGCAGCAAGAGGGCAGTGCTGCCTTTTTTGAGTGAGTAGGTGTCAGCTCAGGGCTGAAGAAGAGAAGGAGGCTTCATTAGTGGGTCCTGGGCAGGTGTGTTTCCTTTTGTTCTTCATTGTGCTGATGACCGCAGAGACGCCACTGGTAGGTTGAGACAGTTTCAACTATATTCAAAGGATTAAATTGTAATTGCTAATTTGAGTTATGGTATGTTGGATGTTAAATGATTGTTGATAGATTAATTAATTAATTTAATATGGGTTTGTGTTTCTTTATTTTAAGGTTATCAACTATTGACCACTCAGCCTGATTCCTTTTTGAAAAAATGAAATAAAAGATGGAAATGAGTGAAGTTGACCAGCGTCCTCTGTGATCGTCAATGCCGAGCCGAGTTTAGGCAGACAGTGAAGTTCATGACCCAATAACTCGACAATTATTTTTGTTGTTGTTTAGTCCTCTGACCACCAAGCAGCACTTCCTGGTTTGGATTTATGAAGGTTAATCAGCTTTAGGTGTTACTGATTTGAGAAGAGGCTTTTATTTGATTTTTTGTGTATTTAAAAAAAAAAAAAAACTTTAAACATTGTTGAATATCAGAAGTTGATCATGGACAGATTTTCTTTTTAAGTAAAAAACCCCACCCATCACTAACCACACAGGGCCTTTTGCAAATCACACTTTTATAATTTAATTTTTCCCCTTGACTGTCACATATTTTAATTATTTATTTCATTTTTTTAAACTTATGACGGTACATTTCTCTAAATAAAGCTCTTAAAATTAGCTGAAACATCAAGCCAAACATATTTCGCATCTTTATCTACACTGGAGTTTCCATAAAATGTGAGAAATTAATGGTTAAAACAAAAACAAATTAAACAGTTCTTTCTTTTGTTTGTCTTTCTTTAGTTGTTAATCAGATTTTTTTCTTAAATGTCAGATTTCATTTCAAGTAAGCATCTGTTCATGTTTTAGATTTTTTTTTATTATTATTACTGATGCATCAGTTCCACATATTTTTTTAGCTTATATATTTTGTTTTATGTGAGTTTTGTGCTTCTGTGTCTGTTGATGTCTGTGCTGCATACTATTGTCTTCACAGCATTCAATCATTGCTTCAATTTTGTACGAGATCAGTTTGCTCTTGTCATCTGAGAGCAGCGTCGGTTTTTACAGCTTCAGTGGTTTCAGAAGAACAAAAATGGAAACTCATCCATTTGTTCGTTTTCACTTTTGGCCAGAAGAGGGAGCTGTGAACAGACAACAAACAAACACATGAACCAGGAAACACACGTTCATGTGATGTCCAGGCTGAATTTATAGATAATATGACATAAAACTACAGTCTTATTAAAAGCACCAGTGCCTCAGTTGAAAAATACTGCATTACAAAGTACAAGTCTGTTATTAAAAGTTTTATTTAATTTAAAATATAATCAGAAAAATGCACTTAAAGCATCAAAAGTAACTGAAGTTGCTGCTGAGAAATTGATGAATATGATATTTTTGGATTTTATTACTCATAATAGTCACATTTAAGCCTTGTTTAACTCTGGCATTTGTTTCAGATGGAGTTAATTTTTAACTATTTCATACAGGCATGCAACTATTTCTTATTTTAATTATTTATCGATCTGCTCAGTGTTTGTTTTCTTTACTGTTTGGTTTGTAAAACAGAAAATGGTACAACTACCACAACAACACAGATGTTTGAGTAGGATCTTGTATTTGTCCGATCAATATTTAAAACAATGACATTTAAGATCAATATAAGCGTTTAAAAAGTTGACTTGTTTTGCATAAAAATTCCTTTAATTGCAACCTTTTCTGGTCACCAAAACAGCTGCTGATTATTTCTTTGATAACTGACTAATGTGTTAATCAGCATAATGTTGTGTGGCTCCTATCATGCATCATCCTTTAAACACATGCTAAAGGTTTTGTACAGAAAATCCGGCTTTGTAGAGTAACTTATGACTAACGCTGTTCCCGTTCTCGACTCAGAAACATAGAATAAACTTCTTGCATATATTTAAAGGCTGTCTGCTGCTTTTGAGCCGTTCAGTCGACTTTAACATCTCCACTTTATCATGGAGCCGCTCTGCTCCGTCACAGAGCCTCAGCCTTCATCACTGGAGACAACATTCATACTCATCATTGTTCTCTGTGTCACCGTGGAGGGTGAAAAGTGACTTAGGCATGAATAAATAAAAGCAGAAATAAAAAATTAAATACATAAATAATAAAAAATGTATTAAGACTCAAAAATCCATGCTGGTAATGAGAAAGGATAGAATGTTTTTTTTCTCCTACATTTCTATACATAAAGTCATATTTAGACTATTTCTGTATTATTCATGTTTTTATTTCTGTATTTCTGTTGTTGTTGTTGTTGTTGTGTGTAGTTAATAAAGTGTAGCCGGTTTGTGTCTAGTGATAGAAATTGTTTGCTTCTGTCAGGTTTGTGAAACAATTTTGCTTTATATTGAAGTTAGGACTGAAAAATTCACATATAAACACAGAGATACAGAAATAAACGATAGAGAAACAGACTAAATCAAAGAGGATGTGTGGACACGTTGAATTCAATCCAAAAGATTCATTCAATTGTGTGATTTTTTTTTTTAACAACCAAAACGCGTTTCTTTATGTATTTAATTAATTATTTCTACATTAATGTATAAGACGATCATTTATTTTTTTTAATCTTCCATATTACTTCAGCTTCAAAGCATTAAATCCTCTTCATTTCATGTTTTTTCATGATTCCTGTAACTGTTCGTTTGTGCTCGTCTAATTATGAATGTTTCATGTTTGCATGTCTCAGGTCTATAAATATAAAACACAGAGTGAAAAGTGCAGCATTTCTCTCTGGACCGTAGCCGAGCATCGAGTACAGATGCCTCCATGTTGTAGCTCAGTAAACGGGTGGATTGTGACGTTCCATCGCAGCGTCGATAAGCAGGTTCTGCTCTCAGTGTTCTTCTAATGAAGCTGCACAAATTCAGCCTCGCCAGCAGAGTTTGCCCTTTGCATCGCACACTACAGAGGACAGGAAACACTGTGATCTCAGATTACAGCTCAGGGACGCCCTGAAAAAGGGACAATGTCATGAATAAAAAAACACAGGAGACATGAGATTGTGACGTTCGGTGATGACTGTCTGATGTGACTTTTAACATGCCACAATCAAACTCAGCTTTACGTCAAAACAGGGCGGATGATTTGAGGAAATGTAGATTTTTCTGACAGATTTTTTCAGTTCTATACTCCCCGTGTAACATATTTGAAAGATGTGATGCAGCTTTACCTCTAGAGATGCCATCGAAAACATCAAGGGTCACGCAAGGAGG